AGTGGTCCAGACAGGGTTCTCGCGGTACTGCTCTATGCAACGGGTGAGGGCTGGAGTCGGGCCGAACCAACGACGAAACTCCACAGGCCCATCACACTCATACAGGGTGTGAAACACGGGGTCAGAGGGGGCGACCTGGCAAATGGGGCACACCGGTTTAAAGTAAATGCCCCCAGATAAAAAGGTCCTCAAAGCACGTTGCTGGAGGACACCCCATCCTTCAGTCTTTTTAAACAAAAGGGAAAGAAGAGGGGGGGGAAAGGGGGGGCCAGACAGGTGACTGAAGGATGGGTGACGCTCAGAGGCCTGTTTCCCGGACCAGACAGACGCGTCGCGAATCACTAGTGCCATCACTTCACGAGGGGAAGTAGACGAAATATCAACGTCGGCTCCAAGAGAAGTACGCCATATTGTAGGCGAAACCGCAGACCACCCAATCCTACGCATAGTGGCAACCAAAATTTGTCCTGGGCCCTGCAATTCAGTCCACGGGGTATCTGGCGTCACCTTGGCGTAGGCAAACTGGAAAACTTGATCTATCATTCCGACAGGAAGAAGAGAGTCCCATCTAGAGACAGTCCAGAGACGAATAACCTCAGCATGAGCATCGATAGCAGGATCGGTAACACCATGCAACGCCAAGTCCATCGTGACAGACCTACGCCTACCTGTGCCGAGACCAGCGTGGTATATAGCACGGACCTGACGAATCTGGTGAGTAGATAGACCGACGACGTCAATGCCGCACATGAGAGTGGGCCGCAAGTTAGTGTTTACAATACCTGCTACCTTTGCACCAGCCTTCTTTATCTTCAATAGGCGACGGGCCTTAAACCTGGCCTTTTACAATCGGCCAGTAAGAACAGGACGAGAACGACGCCCCTGACGTAGCTGATAGTCAATCCCGAGGTTTCGACACGAGAACTTGACTGCACCAGCGAGACGAGGAGTTTCAGCTGCAATGCTCTGAACCAACTGGGGGTCGGTAGCCAAGAGCACGATTTTCTTCTCGGAGAGCGGTAAACATGCCGAGAAGGTAAGCTCGCTCATCAAAAGGTGCGACGCATCGGGACCGATTTTGAGCAACTCCCTCTCCGAGCCTATCCCCAGGACCTGGACGTCGTCGGCGACGAGGCCGACGTGCATATTTGGATAAGACTGACGAAACGAATCCAACTCGGGCATCAATAAAATACGCATAAACAGGTCGGCAAACGAGCAACCTGCTACAATAGTCTTGCTAGCTCTGACCCACTCCCCAACAATTCGCCGCAACGTGACAACACGTGGGGAACGATACAGAGACAGGAAAACCCTCAAGAGTGCTGGATGAAAACCAAACTCACTAGCACGTCTTATGAGAAGTTTGTGGCGAACCTGCTCAAATTCCTTCTGGATGTCGAGCAAAAGTGCAAACACAGACAAACCTTTGGCAGATGCTAACTCCGTGAGCACGCCCATGCGCCACACACATGCCTGGCAGGAATGACCGCGCACACCATACACGTACGGACGAGGATGCAATCGCGCCCACGTAGCACCATGCGCGTGCCTGAAGAACCGAGAGAACGTGCGCACACACGTCGTGAATAGGGCAACCGCACGCTCGCCACCATCAGGCTTCGGGATCAGATTCATGATGAAAACAGCGAGAATGGGAGGAAATCTACCCAATCGCAGAACAGCACGCCAGATACCAAACAGGGCAAGGAGAGACGAGTCGGAGAGCAGCGCTTGGCGACGTGGATGCATAAAGTCCAATCCCACCGACGTACGAGCTTTGTACTTGCGACACATCTGTCTGTACTTGTCCAGGGACGGGTGAGGCAAGGATGCAAGGCAGTCGGGCGGTAACGGCGGAAAATCCAGGGCTCGGCAAGGATCGTCAGGGTGCTCCTGCATGGGCTCCCAGATAGCATGCCAAGCTACTTCTCGCGCCTTGAGATGATGCTGCGGCGTACCGGCTGGGGCATCTGGGTTCGGGGTGGTCTTGTCAAAGGAAGCCCAATCCATAGATCCCTTGACGAATCGGTGCGCAGCAGAACCCCCTTCCTGGACCGAACGAATGGCCCATGATGTCCAGGATTGGTACCTCTGCGCCGATGCTGCACGTTCCACAGCAGATGCAGACTCACCCAAGACGCCCCGCAGCCAATCTATGAAACCCAGATCTAGGGTATCAAGCCTGTTGGCATAATACCTCCACCACGACCAATCGGGGGGGGGGGCCACCATCGCGCTGTGAAGGACGATATCGGCGCAGGGCGTGGCAGGCTCTCCGATATGCGGGCCACAGCTGCTTGTCTGCAAGATATAGAAGAGTACCAAGACGGTTAGAGAGATACCTCCAGAGCCTTCCTTCGTATGACGAAAGCACACCACCAGGAAACAGTCTGGAAACCGAGATCTGGATGGTCGAGGAAGGCTCACCCCACTTGATGTAATCCTGCGGATCTGGCAACTGGAAAAGGCAAGCAACTCCTGGGCAGACGTCTTCAGCCAAGAAGAGGTAAGGCGTTCCAAATCTTCCACAGAGTTGACTGCGCCAGGATCAGGAAAGGCATCCCAGGAAGGCGGGCAGTTTGAACACCCCACTGGACGGATAATAGGGATATGTGGCGGCCGCCGAAAAACGGATACCAAATCTGAGTGGAGATTTCCACGAAGGGCAAGAGCGACAGGCTGGTGCTTGGGGGTCAGGGGGGTCTCCCAGACCTCACGCTTAACTGCTGCCGAGAGCAAGGGGTGAACCACAAAGTACTCAATCAACGACTGGGCACCCGCAGACTCATAGGCATGGCGATCTGGCGCGACAATGACCCCACCTATGAGCGTTAAGAAGTCCGTATTCTGCAAGTCCTTGGGGGACATGTTCCAGTCCCCTGATATGACAAAGGGGGTGGATATGGTCTTCATGACTGCTGCCACCTGCATCAGTAGCTGGGCATTTCGATCCTCGGCGCCTTCCCCCGTATGCAAATATACATTGGCCCAGGGGATACCTGAATCCACGACCCCATGCCATAGCTTCAAGATAAATCTCTCTGGAGGGGGCATGACGACAGCCGGATCCAATGCAATTTCAGAGAAGGACCTGGCATAATGCGACACAAGGCCCACTCCTGAACTCAATCCGCGTTTCTGAGTACTAACTGAGGGGTGGAGGTGCGCATGGAACCCATGCTTGTGAGCACGGTTGACTGCGAACTCAATAGCCTCTTCTGCACGACAGAGTTCTTGAACACCAACAGCATCAAACCGATCCGAATAAGCCTCCAGGAAAATATCGGCATTAGACCAGGAGGTAACGTTCACAGAAACGACGACCCAGTCCCGACGCGACTTCTGTCCGAAGGCTGACTTGTCGGGCGGGGTCTGCGAAGTGCTAAAGGTCAGACGGGCCCATGGGATTGGAGCCCTCCACCACAGCTGGGGTGTCGGCGGGGCCAGCGGCGGCGGCAGCCGACGGCGAAAACCTTCCTGACTGCCCCGACTGATCGACTGCAACATCAGGGGCATGAGCAGGACGTTTCGGCGCAGGCGGCAGTGAGGAAGAGGCACGGGGAGGAGCCCTGGCAACGCGTGTTGGGGAACCTTGCTGGTCGACAGACACCCTGGGTTCCTCAGACTGAGACCGAGGCTCTCTGGCACTACCAACAGGAGCATAGCCAGACATAACGATACCCTGGAGGTCACGCAGCGCCTGAGCAAGCTTCTTGTCTCTCTGCACTGCCTGGGAAGCTGCGAATACGTCCGCCACGGCAGAGAGATCTGGGGGCGTGAAACCCTCAGGACCTGGCTCACTCGACGGGAGATCCTGCAACTTAGCCTGCCACATAGCCATATCCTGAGCAACCCGCTCCTGACGAGAGCAGAGGGCGTCCCTTTCGCTCTGAAGGTCCAGGATTTTACGATCGAGCTCACGGATCTGGCTAGAGATCTTGTCAAACTTCTTACTGGCCCAGTGATGACGCTGCTTGTAGAACGCACGCTTCTGGGGGACGGTAAGCATGTCGGACTTTTGTGCTCGGAGATGCTGCAACTCGTCCTGGAGACTCGAAACCTGATCGAGAACATACCTGGTCGGCGGAAGCAGGCGGAGGGAATCCAGCTGGCCCAACAGGGCCTTGATAATCTGGTCAATCTGCGCAACCGAGAGCTCATTGCCATTGGTGTCGACACAGCCGCCATCAACGTCGTCGTCGACATAGTCAGCCCAGAAACCACGATCGCTGCCAATACCGTCGTCGCCAGAGTCAGATCCAAACCTATCCTGCACTTCATCATCCAATGGAGCCTGAAGACGTTCATCCAAAGACCGAACTGGGGGAGTGGCAGAACCATCAACATCATGACGATCATGGAAACGAGCACGGGGAGGGGACACGACAGGCTCATTGCGCCTGCCTTTGCTCCTTCCCTTCTTTCCTTGGACCTGTCCTCTGGAGCGGCCAGGAAAGGGAGTACTGCAAAACTTACACTTCTGGCGGGGGTTGGTGTCGGGGATCCACGAAGTCTTGCCAGCATCGCGACAGACGAGACAGACGAGATATCCCATGGCGCGCCCCGCGCAAGGTGTGGGCGGCACACGCGCCGAAATCGTCCGAGCCTGCCGCACGGCTGCGGACAAGCTCGAAGCCTCGCGGCAAGGTTTCGAACTTGAGCCAAAATGGCTACGGATTTCCGCCCTACTTTTTCGGCCCCTTCTAGGTGGATTTCCGACGCAATTTAAGTTGGAAAAAAGCCAAAGAACCCAGACCCCCGACGTAATAATTTTTTCATTGCGTCGACCCCAGAGTTCTCGACCCCTTCCCCAGGACCGGTTTGTGATCCTGAGTCGTTTTTTGACGCTCCCGAGGCCCGGTGAGGGCCCCCAGAGGCCGAAAATGGCGAAAAACCTCCCGTCATGATTTTTTCATTGCTCGAGGGGGTCTGGGAAGGGCGGATCCGGAGTCAGGGGAAACCTGACCGCGCGGACGCGCGCGGCGCCCAGGAGGAGCCTCCGCCGGCACGCCCTCCCCGGCCCGCGCGGACGACGGCGGGGGCCCCTCGCACAGGGAGGGCAGCTCGTGCGGCGGCGGCCGGGACCCGGCGGGGTGCCGCGGGGCCTCCCGGGGCCGCTCGCCGTCGGCGACCCCAGCGGCCTCGAGGCGGTCGGCCTCGAGAGCACCCTTTTTCACTCGCGGCGACGTCGGGCGCTGTTAACCCAGACATGATCGCGTCGTAAAAAAATCAGGACGGGAGGTTTTTGCATATTTTCGGCCTCGGGGGGCCCCCGCCTGGCCTCGGGACCGTCAAAAAACGACTCAGGACGAAAAACCGGCCCCGGGGAAAGGGCCGGGACTTCCGGGGACGCCGTCCTGAAAAAATCAGGACGTCGCATGTCTGGGAAGGAACCGAACTCTGTACACCGACGCTGTTTCCGGCCCCGCACGAGAGCTCGCACAGGAAAGCGGATCCTGGCGTATACGGGATCCTGGTGTATGCATTTGTCGTTGCTTCCGCGGGAAAGCGGGGAAGAAAAGTGTACACCACACCACCCCGGCGTCGCCCCCGACCCTCAAAAATTCCTGGGATTGCGAAACAGCCCGCCACTGTGGTAACGTATATATGCTCCAGTTTCCGAGTTGTGGGGGTCGTGGGAATAAAAACGCCGCGACGGTATCAAACAAACCTAGGACATACAAACAACACCCGAATATGCATTTGCAAAAAAGGCCGCGGGTGTAAACAGAAACCCTCGGGTATTTTAAAAAACCTCGGGGGATTTGTTTTTTTTCCGCGGGGCTTTTTATACCCTTGTTTTTGTTCTAACCGTGGCAGTGGGCGCGGACGCTGTGCTCTGCCGCAAAGACCTCATGCAACGGCACTGAACCGATGGTGCGCAAAACTGACCGTGAAGCCTAGCACCGAGCATGGAGGGGGGGGCGGGGAGGGCGGGCATAACGTAACGCCCCCCACCCCGCCGTGTGGGTCTGGTACCACAGACGGTGGTGCCAGACGCACTGCGGTAGTGCTGTGGACGCACTTGGGGGAGGGGTCGTCGTCGTCGTCGTCGTCGTCGTCGTCGTCGTCATGCTCGTCGTCGGCATAATGCGCGTTACGGCCCAGAGGGTAGCAAAAAAACTCTCCTCGTGGACAAGCGCCAGGCGGGCGAGCAGCGGCCAGACCCTCTCGAGCATGAATGTGACCTCGAAGTTGAGGGCGTCGTCGTCGGCGTTGAAGAAGGCGACCCCCTGCACAAGCCGCCGGAGCCACGCGAAGGCCTCGCTTGCCCACAGCGACCACTGCTCCTGGGACGCGGGTCTGTGCATCACCTGCTCCAGGAACGAGTTGACATGGCGAGAGAACGCCATCATCTGCTCCTCCAGCGCCGCAGCCTCTGGCGACGGCGGCGGCAGGTATATCATGGACGGAGGCGGGACGTCACTGGTGTTTGGAGTCCGCCACCGTGCCCCCTGGCACGATGAGGCGTGGAGGGATGCCAAGTGCTGTCTGGCAGGGTTTCTGTACCTGTCTAAATGCAGACCCCGCCGCTCCTGTTCACGGAGTGCTGCGTTTACCGCCTACCCCCGTCCCTCTGAAAGCAACAGTGAGCCCGCGCTCCCGAAACCACGATCCCTCGTCACAAACTCGTCTGGCGAAAGACGCAACCATATGCAGCTGCGAGTACGCAAGACAGGTGGAAAATCAGGAACGGGGCTGGCGAAAAGACTAAGCAATGCGTGGGAAGGATGGAGCGACGCTGCTGATGGCGTCGCAGAAGTCGGCCAAAGCGGGCTACATCTGAATGTAACCCGTTACGGCTGATCTGCGCGTCTGTCGGCGCGGCCCTCGGGGGCATCACGTGGCGAGGCCTCCGTTGGAGCTCCCTATGGGGGCCACGAAATGCGTGAGGAGTGTGCCGATATGGGCGCTGTCGCGTATGCGAGCCCCGCCACTGGGGCCTTCGGTTGAGCTCCCCCTGGGGCCACGAAACGTGTGAGGTCTGGGCCGAAAGACGGGGGGTACCGCACGCGAGCCCTGCCTCTGGGGCCTTCGGTGAAGCTACACTGGGGCCACGAAACGTGTGAGGGGTGTGCCGAAATCGGGGCGGCTGCCGAATGCGAACCCTGGGCCTTCGGTGGAGCTCTCCGTGGGGCCACGAAACGCGTGAGGGGTGTGCCGACATGGAGGCGGGTACCGCATGCGGACCCTGTCATTGGGGCCTTCGGTGGAGCTCCCTGTGGGGCAACGAAACGTGTGATGGATGTGCCGGAGTGGAGGTGGGTACCCAGTGCACGCCCTGCCACTGGGGCCCCCTGTGAAGGGATAGGAGGAGGGGGGAGGGGAGGAAGGGGAGGGAGGATGGGCAGGGGGAGGTGAGACGCGAAACGCTATCTCTTCAAAACGAAGACCCAACACCACAGGATGGTTGAGAACAGTTCAATCCGCGCCCCCCAGGCCAGGACCTCTTGCAAAACCGATGGGTCCGCGCTCCCGAGCCTCTAAGACGGCAAAGACAGGTAACCAAAAAGTTGCCAAGATGGCCCACTGCGTGCCCAAGACGGCCCAAGCTGGCCACAGAGGGGCCCAAGATGGCTTCAAGACTGCCCAAGAGGCCTCCAAGAGGGCCATGAGAACCCCACACTGGCCCAAGAGTGCCTCGGGGACCCAAGACGGCATTAGAGAGCCTTCCGACGGCCCAAAATGGCCCTACGAAGGAAGCAAGACACCCCCCGGACGGCCAACGAGGCCCCGCGACGACGCACGAGAGCCCCACGACGGCGCAAAAGGGCCGCAAGACGGCCCAACAGAACCTCAAGACTGCCTAATGTGACCCAAGGGCTCCCCAAGACGGCCCAAATAAGCTCCATGATCGCTCCCCCAATAGTGGAGACGAATGGGGGCACATGTGACGATCGTCCTTTTCCTTCTCCTCCTCCTCCTCCTCCTCCTCTGCTTCTTCTCCTTCATCATCATCGTCCTCATCAGCATCATCATCATCATCATCATCATCATCATCATCATCATCATCTTCATCATCATCATCATCATCACCATCAGCATCATCATCAACAGCATCATCATCATCGTCATCATCATCACCATCGTCATCAGCATCATAATCATCATCGTCATCATCATCATCACCAGCACCATCATCATCCTCATCATTATCAACCTCATCATCAACATCAGCAGCATCATTGTCATCATCAGCATCATCATCCGTAGCATGAGCATCAGCATCGACAGCAGCAGCAGCATCAGCACCCTCAGCACCATCATCACCATCATCACCACCACCATCACCATCAACACCAACAACATCAACATCAACATCGTCGCCATCATCATCAACAGCAGCAGCATCAGCATTATACTCACCATTATCATCATCAGTATCCTCATCCTCAATTTCATCATCCCCATCGTCAACAACATAATCATGAGTAGCATCATACTCATCATCATCATCATCATCATCAACAACATGATCCTCAGATTCATCAACATCAGCATAATCAGCATCATACTCACCATCATCATGCACATCATCATTATCGGCATGCTCATAATCGTCGCCACCATCATCATCATCAGCAACAGCATCATCATCGTCATCGGCAACGCCATCGTCAACGTCATCAACACCACCACCACCACCATGATCGCCATCATCGTCATCAGCATCATCATCATTACCATCATCAGCATCATCATCATCATCATCGTCGTCGGCATCATCTTTTACATCATCACCCCACCACAACCACCACCACCATCACCATCACCGTCACCATTATCATCAGCGGCAGAATCATCATCATCAGCAGCATCATCATTGTCCTCATCATCATAGACATCATCACCATCATCAAACTGACCATCGTCATCCCCACCATCACCATCACCATCAGCGTATTCATCATCATCGTCATCATGATCGTCGTCGGCATCAACATCATCATCATTATCATCATCAGCATTACTATCATCATCACCACCACCTCCATCATCATCAGCATCATCATGATTAGTAACAGCATCGCCACCACCATTGCAATCGTCATCATCATGATCATCATCATCAGGTTATTCACCCCCTATCATATGCCACCATATGTCACACTGCTCGTCTTTTTCAGATCTTATCATTCATCCGTCTCCTCGTCATCAGCATAGCCAACAGCATCAGCATGAAAATCAGCAGCCCAAGTATCATCATCATCACCACCATCATCATCATCATCAGCATCATCATCATTATCATCATCAACAACATCGTCGTCATCATCAACAGCAGCATCATCAGCATCGTACTCACCACTATCATCATTACCCTCGTCCTCAATTTCATCATCCTCATCTTCAACAACACAAATCGTTATTAGCATCACATTCAGAATCATCATCAACATGATCCTCATCTTCATCAACATCAGCATAATCAGCACCATCATCACCATCATCGTGCTCATCATCAATATCAGCATCCTCAGAATCGTCGCCGCCATCATCAGCATCATCATCATCAGCAGCATCATCGTCATCGGCAACGCCATCGTCAACGTCATCACCACCACCACCACCACCATGATCGCCATCATCATCAGCAGCATCATCAGCATCATCATTACAATCATCAGCATCATCATCGTCGTCGGCATCGTCGTTTTCAACATCACTCCACCATCACCGCCACCACCATCACCGTCACCGTCACCACTATCATCAGCGGCAGAATAATCATTATCAGCAGCATCATCATTGTCCTCATCATCATAATCATCATCACCATCAGCATACTGATCATCGTCATCATCACCATCACCATCATCATCAGCGTATTCATCATCATCGTCATCATGATCGTCGTCGGCATCATCATCAGCATCATCATCATCATTATCATCATCAGCATCACTATCATCATTAGCAGCATCATGATTAGTAGCAGCATCGCCACCACCATTGCATTCGTCATCATCATGATCATCATCATCAGGTTATTCACCCCCTATCATTTGCCACAATATGCCACACTGCTCATCTTTTTCATATCTTCTCATTGTATCCATCTCCTCCGCGTCATCCTCATTGTTTCTCCTCCTCCTCCTCCTCCTCCCCGTCGTCATCAGCATCATCAACAGCATCAGCGCGAAAATCAGCAGCCCAAGTATCATCATCATCATCATCATCATCCTCACCACCACCAACATCATCAGCATAATCATCATCATCATCATCATCATCATCATCATCATCATCACCATCACCATCACCATCATCATCATCATCATCATCATCACAATGTGAATCAACATCATCATCTATTCTAACACCGGCACTACGCAATATCCCGCCAGCCCTCTGTGCGTAGGTGGTTTAACGAGTTTTGTCTTTTCTCTGCCCCGAATTCCTCCTTCCCCTGCTCATGGGGGGGCGGATTATCACTGTTCCTTATCCATATACACCCCCTCCCCCAGGCGACCGGCGTCCAACCAGGAACCATGAGGACACCATGCCGACCCGTCCCCCACCATCCCTGTTAGAAAACCATACAAGCCGCACTCTACCTCCACATTTTTGGCGCATGCGCGGCCAACCCGATGCGGCCCCCCACACCATCCCTGTCAAAAAACAATGCAAAGTAAACTTTGGGGCAAAGTCTTGAGTCATGTTCGTGAGGCCCGCGAACACTTTATACTGTTGTTGACAAGGACGGCGGGGGTGTCAGCACGTTCCCTGCCGTGCGCAGGGCTACCATCCCTGACAAAAAAAAACAAGACAGCATGCACCTCGCGGCTAAATCTGGATCACGCGTGGCCATCCCGCGATCACTGTCAAATTGTTTTTGACAGGGACCGTGGGGGTGGTGGCGCGTGGCCTGCTGTGCGCCGGCCCACCACACAACGATGGGCATTGGTTTTCGACAAGGATGGCGGGGGCCGACATGCTTCCCGATGTGTGCTGTCACGTGCGCAGGCGCACCTGACGCTCTCTGCACGTGCCCCGAACATGGCGCACCTGGCGCGGCTTGAGTGTGCAGCACACCTGGCGCACTCGGAGCACGTGGCGCATCTGGCACACCAGGCGTGCCTGGCACGCTCGGGCCCCAGGGGTGCCTGGCGCGCGTGGCGCCCCTGGCACCTGGCACGCGCGGCGCATCTCGCCCAAGCGTCGCGCACCTGGGGTCGGCTTTGGTTCCCAGTAGCTGTCCATCCAAAGGCGACCGCTGAACATGCTCAGGCTCGGATGTTACTTATGTGTTGGGAGGGCGGATGGGAGTGAGCTAGACGGCTTGCGGGCGGGTGGGTAGCTTGACCCCTTCCCCCTACCCTCTCCCCTGGGTCTGGGAGGGGGGGGCGCGAGGCGCTAGAGCCGCCAAGATCGCCCAAGATGGTTTCTAGGAGGGCCTCAGAGACCCCAAGATGGGCCCCAAGTTGGCTCAAGGTAACTCAAAGTGGCTCAAGATAGCCTCCGACGCACATCCAAAAGGTCTCAAGACGGCCCCAAGACGGTCTCAGGTGCCCTCCGAGCCCTCCTAGGAACCCCCAAGAGGCAACCATGGCTCCAATGTATCGAAAATGAATGATGTTTGTCTTCTCGCCTTTTCGCTTCCGATGGGCCTCGGAGGCCTCAAGACGGCCCCAGGATGGCCCAAGAGAGCCCCAAGAGGGGCCCAAGAGGGCTCAACGACGGCCCCAAGAGCGCCCAAGAGCGCCCAAGAGCGCCCCACGGTGGCCCCAAGACGCAATGTTTGGGCCTCCGAGGGGGGAGGGGCTGAATTTACGCCCCAAGAGGGCCCCAAGAGTGCTCCAAATGGCTCCGCGAGGATCCCAGAGAGACCAAAATGGCTCCAAGAGACCTCCGAGAGAACACTTCCAAGGCGGTTGTTACACTACATGCTTTTACACTTTCCTGATCAAGACAACTCGGCTGGCGATTCAGATCTGGATGGGCTGGTGGGGATACTTTTTCGTCGCGGCCGCAGGCGAGCGCGCCAGCAGCGTCAGAGGTCGGGCGGGCTACGCGCGAACCTAATTGCCTAGCGCACGGGGACCGACGGCCGAACCTAAGCTGCCTAAGCTGCCTAAGCGCTGGTGGGGATACGCGAAGGGTCAAGAATTGCATACCACATGTCACGGCTATCGCAAACAATGGGGAACGAGGTGTCACACGTTACGGCTTCCCGTCAATCGCCACCCAAAGCGCTGGGCTGGAAAGGTGGCGGAACTTGCCGCTGGCAGCTGCATATTCAGCATCATCCGGTTCTTCCCAATCCCTGCAAAGTCGCTGAGCACTCCAAATACTGTCTTGCCCCAGCCAGATAACAGCACGCCTTCCCAATCGAAGCACTGGATACTAGACACTGGGCAATTTTCCAGAGTCTCCTTCTCGCTCCGATGCGTGAAGAGGAACAAGCACCGCAACCACAGGGCAGCATCGGCACAGATGTTCCACCCGTGCTGCTCCTCTGGATGGTAGCCGCCCGCATCTGTCTTCAGCAGATGATCCAGACCCTCGGCGAACAGTTGACCGAAGTACGTCGGCGCCTGGACAGAGCGCTCCCGCACAATGCCTAGCTCGTCTGAGCTCATGGACGGTTGGACGCCCTCAGAGTCAGGGGAGCCCAGGAGCGACCCGGCATATTCTCCAGAGGCCGACGAGAAAAGCCAGCATGGCAAGCAGCCCCTTCATGCACACAGCCGTAATCATTCTGATGTATCTCTACGGTCAGAAGCTTTTGCTTCGCGTGTCGCGGCGGCGGCCCAGGCGACACGCAAGTGGATTGCGTGTCGCTCCGCTCCGCGGGGCGGGAGGCTGAGAAAAGCTCGGGACGCTGGCGCTCGGGGGCCGCGACGTGGCTAGCGTGTCTCGCAACAACGTGGTGGGCGAGAACCGGCGGCGCGACACGCCAAGCAGAACCTCCTGACCGTAACCATGCGGGCCCCGGAAGCCCTGAACCAAAATCCCTTGCCATCTCTTGGGAGGCCGATCTTTTGCTTCCGCCGGCCTTCCGCCGGCGGAGGCGGCCTCGTTTTAGCTACGCCGCATTCCGCCGACCTTCCGCCGCAGTCCGTCGAGGAAGAGATGGCAGCTCCCCGGCCCCTGGACGACGAGGCCCGTTCTGCAGTGCATGGAATTTTTATGTCTGTTGCGCGAGGCTTCCCCCCGCAAGACGGGACCCTCAGAATCGGCGGCCCCCGCGGACCCTCGCGTACGCGTATGTCGGGCGTTTCCCCCTACAGAAGGATTTTCGAAGAAAAATGAAAAATACCCCCAAAATGCCCCAAAAAGGTCAAAACATACTTTTAAAGAAGTTCCCAGACTATTTTGGGACTATTGTTTGACTATCTGTGGGGTATTTCATATTTTTCGTCGACTTAAGCGTACGCGACCTAAGCGTACGCCTCTCCTGGACGGCCCCCTGGACGCCTCTCCTGGACGGCCCCCGGGAGCTCGCGGGCACCATGGGACGCCCGGCCAGGCCCTGCCAGCGGACCAGCGCGGGACAGGAGAGCGGCAGACGCTGCCAAGAGGAGGACAGCACAACCCACTCCCATCCCCCGCCAGGACCCCAATTTCCGACTTGGTGATACAAGGGGTCCAGGCTGGGGAGGAGGAGGGGGAGGAGGAGGAGGAGGAGGAGGAGGAGGAGGAGGGATGCGGGTGTCTTGGAAGGCCCTCGCCCCCAGCTGGGACACCCCTGGAGCAGCAGAAGTCGGGAGCGGGGGCTCCCGACGGGGGGTGGGGGTGTGCTGCGGCGTCCTCGCAAAAGGCGCGAACAAGAAGGCCCGGGGCCGAACGGGACCGCACCACGAGGACGTCCTCGCCCGCGATCCCCCCGCGACCAACCCACGACCCGCACGCAACCCAGCCGCGAGCTAATCGCGAGCTACCAACAACCCACCTACATTGCTTTGATGAAAATTCGTCGCCTGCGGCGGGCTCGTTGTGTAGTGTGTACATTTCGGCGCATGCGGCGGGCGTTTTCTGAGTCTCGCATCCTGCCGACGACCCCGCCGCCCCCTCACTCTTAGTCGCAACTGCAGGGGCTATGGCATTTTGCACATGTGCACGTTCCTCCATCTCTGTGTCGAAACTCTTCAGACCGAGGTGAATGGCGCGAAACGCACATACAATATTGCATTAACGTTTCAAGCCTGTTCGCCTGCATGACTACATTGTACACATCCATACACACACCACCGTATCGCAGGCACTGGGTGAACTGTCCTCAGGTCCTCACTAACTGCAGCTCTCAATATGGTGAACAGTGCTCGCCGATATGGAAGATCGTAATACTTTAAGGGCCTTAAGCCCCAGACTCGCAGGATTGCCGCGCGCTCTTCCGCGCGACGAGGACTTGGCTGGCTTCCCATTCCCAGAGCCCTAGCATTACTCAGAGGGAAACAATATTCCAACAAGGGTTCTTTTGGAGCCGCTTGTGGGGGTCACTTGGGCCGTCATGGGTGTCCTCAAGGATAAGCCAACCCATCCCAAGTCATGAAGTTCTACTTGTCGGCTGATAGGAACGTCCTCGCATCTTTAATGCTGAGGCCGCCCAAGTCGCCCCGATATCGCCCCAAGATGGCCCCCGAGACGTCCTGGAGGCCACCAAGACGGCCCCACCCAAGAAGAGCCTTTAAAGGGCGACGCCGCCTGTCCGCTGGAAACGGCCCCCCAAAACGCCTCCGAGTGGCCTCAAAGAGGCCCTGCAGATGCTCCTACCAAACAGTCCCTAAAGAGAAACCAGAACAGGCCACCGCCCAGAAACCCGCCGCACTCCCGCCCATTTTCCCACACTGCGCCCCGCGCGCACAGCACAGGCGCGGTGGCGGCATGGCCGAAATCCTCTCGATCCATTGTTCCTGGCATCCGAATGGTTCCCCCGATCATCGGCGACCTCAAAGGTCCCAACCGCTTCCCCGGGAAGAGCTTTCGCCCCGGATCCATCCTTGATGGTCCCGGGGCACCAAGACGGGCCCCCAGAGGAGGCCGAGCTTGAGGAACAATTTACCAGCCTGGAACATATCCCTATCCCTATGCTGGGCATCTCCTCGTCACGATGCCAATCTTGGGGATTCCCTTATTTCTTGAGGGCGAACCCCTAAGATTGTCATCGCCTCTTGGCGTGTCAATCTTAGGGATAGGGATACGTTCGAGGCTGGGAAGCAGTGCCCGGATTGAAAAGAAAAACCGGGCCGTCGGAGATATCTGGGCGTGTGCTGGTTGCTCCCGTGGCCCCCCGTGGCCCCCGACAGGGACGACACCCGACCACGGGCCATAGGCGGTCTGGCAGGAGGAGGTCGTAGCCCCTCCTGAGAAAGGCGCACGCCTTCGTCTCCGCCGTCCAGGCGGTGCCAGGGGGCGGTCGCCACCAGGGGGGGGAAGGTCACCACCACCTCCTCGAGACGAAGCCAGGGCGAGGATACAACATCAATAGGCAGCAGTGAACAGCATCTCTTTCAGCACATGCAGGCACATCTTTACTTAGCATTAGGCATAGCAGCACATTGGACACTTCATGCTTATGCATGCGTATACAACTCGGATCTCTCTGAGACCTGGCGGTTCAGGAGGCTGTCTCGGGCGCCGCGGCCTTCTCCGAGCGTTCCGGAACGCTCTGCACGGAACGGATTTCTTCTCGCCCTAGCCCCCCCTAGCTCCGGATCCGCCCTACTTTGGGGAAATTCGTAAGTGGGGCTTGGAATTTCCGCCTTACTTTTCAAGCCCCGCTGATGCCAATTTCCGCCCTACTTTTCTGTCGCTGTTTCTGTGGATTTCCGCCCTATTTTATGCTGGGTGCAGCAATTTCCGCCCTACTTGTTCGGCCTCTTATAGGTGGATTTCCGACGCAAGTTTAAGTTGGAAAAAAGCCAAAGTAAGGCGGATCCGGAGTCAGGGCCGTTCAGAGCGTCCCGGAACGCTCTGAGAGCGTCCCAGAACGCTCTGGAGCGAAATTCGCCTCGCCCTATAGATAGCCCCGCCCGACCCCTCACCCCAGAGGCATCGGCGGCGTCGGGACGGAGCAGATCGGCCTCCGCATCGCGCCGCAGCATCGGCGCTGCATCGGCGCTGCGGCGCGAGCCTCTGACACCGTCCTGGCCATCGCTCGGACGTCCATTCCCTGGGTTTTGTTCGGTTTCGTGCGTGGTGTTTTCGCCAACTGATCAAGGATGCTCCTCGATGGTCCTCGCCGAAAGGAAAATGCACACGTCCGAGCGATGCCAAGCATCTGGCAGGAAGGAGACGGGTCCAGAGGGAAGCTAGGGGGCCACATGCGAACCCCACCCTCCCCCTCAGAAATCGTGGGGGGTAGGGGTAGGGTTCGCATGTGGCCCCCTAGAAGCGGGTCCTGGACCCTGGCGCCGTCCTCCGAGACGGGGCCTTCGCCACGAGCTGCTCTTGGACAGCCCCGTGGCCCGTGGAGGGCCCCGAGAGCCCGGGCACGGGCGGACAAAATCAGGACCCGCTTCCCCCAAGACACGTCTGCTTTACAACGGCCCACCTGCTCCGGAGCCACCTGGGCGACGAAAAGAGAAGGAGATGGCACAGCTACCTTACGCCGCGGCTTACGCTGGCCGCCGGCGCGGCACGCCGCAGTGGAAGCGAGGGCGCTTACGCGCCACCGTACGCGCGAATGTCGGTGAAGACGAGCCCGTTTTCTTCCGTCGCTCATCTGCTCGCGCCCCCCCGCAGGGCTCCGTGGTCGGGGACTGCGACAAAACCAGGCGGCGGCACACCCCAGGAAGCTGCGGCCGCGGGCCGAAGCAATCTCCATTCTCAGCCCTCTCCCGCCGGAATCTGCACAAGGCCCCCGGCCCAGGGCCCTGCCGCCGCCGCGCAGCACAGAATGCCTGGAGCCGGCGCTGCCATCCCTGGGCCCGGTGGGGCATCAGCGGTCCAGATGGCTCCGGCCACCTTGGATGTGCTGGAGCCTCTCCCCCCCCTTTGTGGAAGACGAAACGGCATAAACATAGACTTTCGGAACTCCGCGCGGATTTCTTGGACTGGCGCTTGGCCCCCCTTCCCTGGCGCGCGGAGCGCGCCTGGAGTGGCTCCAGAAGCGCCGCCAGGTGGGGCCCAGGCGCAGATGACGCCGCTTGCGCCTCGAGTCTTGGATGCTCTGGAGGCCCCCCCCCTTGACACCGCCCAGGCTGTGGGCGCCCGCCTCCACTCGCTGCACACCACCCTGCCCGCGCGCACGCGCGGGAGCAGCGCCAGCAGCGCGCGGCGCGGCGCGCGGCGCTGCCGCGCGGCGCGGCGCGGCGCTGCGCAGCCGCGGGTCGCCGCGACCGCGGCGGGCGCGCGGCAGTGGGCGCCGGGTGCGTCCTCCTCGGGGGGGGCCATGGCGCCGCGGCTGGCACGCAGCAGCGGGCGCCGCAAGGCCTGGTGGACGACCTGGGCCGCGGCGGCCATGGAGGGCGGTGTGCCGGCGGGAGGGGCCGAAGGAGATGGGGGGAAACTGCTCGGTGCAGGCGCGCGGCGGCGCGGTGGGCGGAGTCATCTTCATGCCGACACTGTCCCTGCTCGTCTCCTTTTTTTTCCCCCCCTTCTCCTCCCCCTCCTCCTCATCCTCCCTTCATGCTCCCACCTCATCACCGCCGCCCTCCCGCTCGGCTGCTCCATCTCCCCAGTACTCTAGTGCATTCTCTCTCTTGGATTTCCTCCTCCTCCTCCTCCTCCTCCTCCTCCACAACCTCCTCCTCCTCCTCCTGATCCTTCTCCGCCTCTCCTCCTCCTTTCCTCCTCCCCTCCTCCTCGTCCTCCTCTCCTCATCCTCGTCCTCCTGCTCCTCCTCCTCCTCCTCCTCCTCCTCTCCTCCTCCTCTCCCTCCTCCTCCTCCTCCTCCTATCCTCAGACCTCCACTCGTCCCTTCAGTACCCCTTTCAGCTGAGCGCTCTTCTCGTCCTCATCAGCATTACCCCTTTTCCTCCTACAAGATCCTTTCGTTTGCTCCTCAGCCTGACTCCTATTCTTTCCCCTCCTCCTCCTTGTCCACCTCCTCCCCCCCATATTCTGCCCCCTCCCTGTCTCTGCCCTTCCGCCCTGGGTCCACCGGGCCATCGGGCCCCCTTTTTACCCACCAACCTCTGGCTGTCGTGGGTGGGTTGCGGGTGGGTCGAGGGTGGGTCGCGGGTGGGTCGCGGGTGGGTCGCGGGCGGGTCGCGCGGGTGGGTCATGGGCGAAGACGGCGAATCGATCGCAACGAGAAATCCGCACCGCGGAACCCCACTTCAGCCACGCACCCAGGGGCTGTCTAAGACCGTTCGCCCCCCCTCAACCTGATGTGCGGAAGTAGAGAGATTGATTTAGAGACAAGAGAGTGAGACGATACATATATATATATATAGATACAGACATACACATACATATACACATATACAAAACTGCATTGGCGCTTCGCGCCATGAACTTTGTTCCGGAGGCTTCCCCGGCAAGACGATAAATCGTCGCTTGCTTCAGCAGGGGGGGCCTCGAGGCCTGGACGGGCGACCGGCTCATGGTTATGATTATCCCTGGTGCCTGCTGACACCGCGTTCGCCCGATACGCTTGCACGCGTCTGCGCAGGAGTGAGGCAGGAATTGTGCTTTCTGTCACGCGTGAAGGTACTGGCAAACGACGGAGCATCAAACTGTTGCGATGGCACTTGTCCATGAACGGAGAACGGGAAGGGAGCAGGGATAAAGGATTGGCTGAGGAGGTGGAAGGGAGGAGGAGGGGGGAGACCTGTCTCTCTCGATCGAGGAATTAAAACCACGAGCCTCAAGCGTGGAACCAGGATCTTCGGGTCAGCTCGATGTACTGCGAAGGAGAGAGCCGTCTGGGCGTTTTGCTGGCTCTTTTCTCTTTGGGCCGTCCTTGGGCCCTCTTGTGCCGTCCTGGGGCCTTCTTGGGCCGTCTTGGGGTGCCGGGCCCCCCCAGAGATTTTCTGAAGCCATCTAGGGCTTTCTTGGGAGCCTCCAGTGGCCTTCTTTGGGATGTCCCATCGTTTTCGCGGGTCTCTCTTGGGAGTCTTCTGGGGGCATCTTGAGCTTCTTGTGGCCAGTGCAGGGACTCTCTGGGGCAGTCTTGGGGCCCTCTTGGGCCGTCTTCAAACCCTCTGGGTGGCCTCTTGGGCCTCTTGGGGGCGATATCGGGGGCCCATCGGGCCGTCTTGGACGCTGCGAAGACCCCCAAAACGGAGATGCTAAACATGTACATTTTCTTGAGGGAGATGGGACGATGTCTGCTTCTTCGGGGCTCTCTTGACGCCCTCCTGGGGCGTCTTGGGGGCCTCTTCGGCCGTCTTCAGACCATCGAGGCTCCTCTTAGAGCGCTCGCGCGCTGTCCTGGGCCTCTCGTGCGCCTCTCCCACGGCCCTGCCGATCGCCTCGAGTCTGCTTGCAAGGGCCCGGCAGGGCGCCCTTGAGAGGCCCGGCAGGGCCAGCGCGAACCTTCTCCAGAGGCGTCCCAGGGGGCCGCCGAGGCCTCCCCCAGACCTCCGACGCATTGAAAAAATCAAGACGGAGGTGTTTCTAGATTTTCGGCCTCTAGCGGCCCTCGCCGGGCTCCGGGGCCGTCAAAAAACGACTCATGAAAAGCCGGCCCTGGGGAATGGGTCGAGACTTCCGGGGACCCCGTGTTGAAAAAATCACGACATCGGATCTCTGGGCCGAAAGGGCGTCCCGGGCGTTCCCTGGGGGGTGGTGGGGGTGGGGGGGGGGTCCGGGTAATCAAAATGTGAGAATCGGGATAAATATTCCTCTTCCTATATGTTTATAAGCCCGGGCGGGGGGAAAACCCGTCCCCCCCCCAAAAAAAACCGGACTCCCGCGATCTGGGGCTCTGGAACCCTCCGGACGGGCCTCGAAGCGGCCCCCCGGGCCTTGCAGGGCAATTTCACAAGCCTTCGCAGCACACCTGGGGCGATCAGGAGGGTCATCGGAGACGCCCCGGAGACCCCCAAGACGGCACAAGAGCGCTCCAAGAGTGACCGACGTGACCTCAAGATGGCCCAAGAGGCCTCCAGGACGGCCCCATGGAGGCCTCCAAGAGCACTCCCAAGAAGGCCCCAAGAGGCACAAATCATTAGTTTTCTGTAGATTTTTGGTGAATTTGGGGGCTCTCCTCTTTTCGGCTTCCCGACGCTCCAAGAAGACGGTCTTCTGGGCGTCCGAAGCCGCCTGGGAGGCTCCCAAATCGCCCTACAAACATCCGAAAGGGCTTCCAGGCAGTGCAAAAGAGCCCCAAAACGGCACAACACGGGTCCAAGATGGCCCTCAGAGAGCCCCATGGCGGCCCCAAATGGCTCCAAGACACCCTCCGAAGCAGTCCAAATCGTGACCTGGTCGTTCAGG